GGAAATATCGTCTCGCTCGAAATTAATGAATGCACTGCAAATCGTGAATTGTGTTTCTTTCAAAACCCCAGCGTGCGTAATATTTAAAGACTTCAACGTTTCGTTTCTGTCGACTTTAGTACAGACATTCGTTTAACGGGTGTTTTTATCTTGAAACGTACGCGTTGTCTCGTCATGTAATTAATGGATGGAAGGAAGACACGGTCAGAATTACAAAATGTACTTTACACAATATCCCTGTTGCGCGTTTAATTAACCAAGTTGCAGCACATTTAACGCTCGGTTTTTGCACTTATTAGCATTTCTTGATGATCTCTTTACTTCGCCACGAGGCTTTAGCGTAATCTACTGTGTATCAAATGAGGAAATTAAATTCCAACAAAGCTTCTGACAAATTTCAAGCCGTAAATCGAGACAAGTTTCTCATTAATCTGTACACATCTTCAGACGAAAGATTAAATAATAAAACAAAATTAATAATAATAGTACAATCGAAGAATAACGCAAAAATATACAAAATTTTACATTACGTTGTCAAAAATTCTCGTCAGATTCAGTCCATTATTTAATATATGTATCTGTTTGTTAGCATCTGTCTTTAAAGGTACATAATGCACTTTAAGAGCTCTCTTCCATCGTAATCACGATACCGCTTGTCTCGAAAACCTCTCAATGTACCGAAACATTAAGAGAATCTGTCTCTCTCGCTGTTACGCCTTCCGGTTTGCCTCCCGCGTCTCGGAACAAAAAAAAAGAGATACGGCGTAGCCATCTTCAATGAAAATGATAAGCTGGCAAACTCGAGCATTAACCGCCTGTATCTTCCTGCCAGTTGAGAGTTGCAGGCCGATGCGTTCAACCGGCTTCAAGATAATCTGCTCCTCTCCCCTCGCCGTTCCCTCAAGATCCTCTCCCCTTTATTTCCCTCACTCCTTCGTCCCTCCCTCCGGTGTCGTCTGCCGTTCTCTCTTTCGCTTCCTCACTTCTGCCCTCGCAGTCGGGTGCGTGTACACTTTTACGCGGCTCTTTTACGGCACTTAGTCGCGGCTCGTTCTGCGCGCGGCAGAGGAGAGAAAAAGCCCTCCTCCAACGACCATTCATTCCGCGACGTCTGCAAGTGCGAGAATTATCGCGGTCTCGTTGGTGTCAGTGATCGGGGGTGCGATCTCGAGTTGGCGACAAGTGCGGCGAGCCATCTGGCATTGACAAGCCCGAGACTTTGAGTACCGATCCTCTCGCGTGTGATTAAATACGTCATCTGATTTACAGATCCTTACGCTACCTTGTAATAAAACCCGTCACTTCGACAAGTCTATGAGTGTGCGGCCACACATCGTTCGTACATGTACGAATGCGCGAGATAATGAACTGCTTCGTATTGTGCGAAGAGATCGCAAAGAACTCGAATTGAAGCGTTGTAATTACAGAGGTGAAAAATAATCGATTTCGTAACGCTTGTTCACAGACGAAAAGCCGTTGCTTGTACACAAGCTGTCTATCTGTAGGCAATCTTGGAAATAATTAGTTCAAAGCTGAGTTTATAAACAGTTTTTCATTACAACGACACTTGAGTTTGCTATTAATTATTTTCGTCTTATTAATCGTACAGTATCTAATCGAAAGCGCTCCAAGGAAATATAATTGATTTGAAGTGACGAATGCACAAAACTGATTCAAAATCGATGGACGGAAGATTGTGCTTAAGAAACGTTGTGGTAATATCGACAAACGCGCATTGCGATTTCTTTATCGAAGCCAATATTATTGCTTCTATACAGTAAACAACGTTTAAACAATAAAAATATTTCTAGTATTAGATACAGTACAGTGAACAAAAAAACACAGGAGCCACAAAGTTGAGTTTTGTTAGAGAAGAACGTACGAAACGCGTACGTCTACACGTGCTATTTAAATTTAATTGAGTAACAATCATTAGTTTCTTTCTAATGCATCAACAAATTTATTCAGAAATGCGTAAAACTATAATACGGCGAAACGAAGTGACTTATTCATAATAACGACAGATATTATAGTAAAATCAGCAGATACTAAAATGGAAGCGCTTTATCCCTACGATAAGTAACGATTTTTTCTTTCCCTTATCAAATTTAACCTTAGGTTTTCATCATGTTCGATAACGTATCTAAATGCACGGTCGGCGGCAGTGGCTCGCCTTTAGTTAAGGCCAAGAGCAGCCCGAACGTGTCAAAAGCGTCACTTTCACCCGCGAAAAAGCAGAATCAATCAAATCGGACGACAAATCCCGCGATTGCTGCGGTCAAACCACCCGGGAAATCGCCGATAGCCTCGAGGATATCCATCAAGATGACCAATGACACGATTAACTCGCCGCGTCGTGTCTCTAATAATTCGGATTCCTCGAAGTCCCGACTTACCTCGCCTTCGAAGCCCGCGAAACGATCCCCGAGCGAGACCCGACCGGATACGGCAAAAACTGTCTCATCTCCTGCGCGCGGCAACGACAAGAAGAAAGTTTGCAAGTCGGTCAGCTCGTCTCCCTCGTGCACGATATTAGAAGACAGAGCGTTGCTGAAGAAGGGCCTCACTTACACGCCTGACAAGATGCCGGCGAAGCCTGAGGCGCTGCAACGTAAGGGTACCCTGGATCGTTCAGTCAGCTTGAACTCCGTGTCCGCGGACAGTCAAACGAATCCCGCAATTTCGTCGCGATGGATTCCAGTACCGTTGGAAAGAAGATCGGTGGAGAAGGGAAGGAGGGCGGAATTGTCGCGAAAGGGTCTAACGTTCATGAACAGGTCTACCAGTCTCTGGAACGTTCAGACGCCGAAAGTGGATTATAATCAATGCAGGAAGTCTTACGGTGCGCCCGCGAGGCTGAACTCGGTCTCCAGGCCGAGCAAGATACCGCTTCCGGCGGCTCGATCTACCGGTCTCGGCCGATCTCTCGCCGATCTATCGCAAGTAGATCGCGTCGAAGAGCCGGTTGGCCAGATGATTAGCTTCGAGCTCGATCTCGACGCCGCGTCGGACGAGCGTATCTACGAGAACTGTCGCGAGACCCTTGATCGTACTTTGAAGCTGAGCACCCCGAGGATCTCGACGTCGACAAGTAACCTGGAAGAGAGAGCCGCGCGATTAATGGCACAGCTAGAGGACGACTTGGAACCTAAGGAGACGGTCGTATCTGTGGATGTCGTGGACGTCGCTCCTCCCCGTAGAACGGAAATTGTCTACGAGGATCGAGAGATCCAGCGCGACAACAAAACTATTATTGTAGAAAGATATGACTCTGAGGATAACAAGAGCAAGGAAAGCCCGAGAATTGACGAAGACTCGAAGAGGGAAACGACGATAATGGATATTTTAAAAGATAATGCAAAGTCGGAAGGAGACTTGAAGGAAAAGGAGTATGTTGTAAAAGAATATACGTCCAATCGGGTCAAGAATTATGAGAAGCCGGAAGAAATTGCCGAGAAGTCGAGGAGAAGCAAGGAGACTTCCATTCAGGAGCTGAGGCGTAACTGGGAGAGACAGAGCAGAGGTAATCAGAACTCTGACGCGAAAACGATCTACGTGGCGAGTTCCGGGAAAACCGTCAATCCGTCGAAGGCGGTTCGAAACGATGTTGTCGATGAGGCGAAGGAGACGAAGCGGAAGCAATGCGTCGACAAGAGAGCCAACGACATCGAGCATCTGGTCAACTTCTTCAATTGCAAGAACGCCGAAGCCTCCAAGGAATCTCCGCGGGAAGTTCTGATCAAGCCGAAACCCGCGGACGTTCCTGTCATTGAAACGCCCGCCGTCAAGAAGAACGAGCCAAAGAATGCAAATGAGTACAGCGGATACACATCGGACGGTAACAGTTCGGAAGATAGCGGCCACATAAGCAACGAGAACGAGGTGGAATGGAAGGAAACCATGGAGAACCAAAGTCGGAAAGAGACGAACGATTTCAAAGGACGGCAGTACTTCGATAGGATTGATCGGGACGACGACGTAAAGCTTTTCGACTCGACGATCGTTCGCAGACTGGTCGAGCCGGAAAAGGAGAACATTGTCGTTAACCGGGGAAGTCGTTTGACATCTTGCGACGAGAGCAGTATTGACTGTTGTCAACTCGATGACAAACGCTCTGAAAATGGGCGACAGGTCCGTCTTAAGTGTTTATAGCACAATCGTTAACTTTGAATACTGATAGCTCTCGGTAATTAGAAGGTTGACTAGATAATTAGGATGCCTCGGGTGTTGCGCACGTCGAGTATTGTTCATCATCACACTGAAAAAAATGTCTGGTTGAATATGGCCGAACCAGATAATTCCTGTAGGATTTACCAGAATTCCTGTAATCCTACAGAAATTCTGGTAAATCCTACAGGAATTCTGGTAAATCCTACAGGAATTATCTGGTTCGGCCATATTCAACCAGAAATTTTTTTCAGTGCATGTATATCGCGGCAAGAATCCCTATTTTGCTAATATCGCGATAATAAAGGGATCTGGCATAGCGGCATAAGTCGTCGGTTAAAATTAGACTTTCTTTCTTTAGTTAATACTTAAATTTTGTTAGAATTGTTGGAATTATCAAAGTCTCGCGAGACATGCCAATTTAATAATTCGCAACGATGCATAACAGGTAAAACTGAAAGTTACTTTGTCAACGTAACTGTTAATATATCCGCTACATTAGTTGCATAGTCTTATGTAAAAACATATCCTCTCGAATGCAATCGAGATATCTCGGTACACGGTGCGCCTTTACGCTCCAGAAGTTATATGTGTTCATCCTTCATTACCATACGAGATGAAAGCAGCTGAAAACTATGCCATGCATATTTTAACATTTACCACCGCCCCTGAACTCGGGTTTAATATGCAGTTTTTTTTCTTATTCGTATGTACGCAAATAGGCAAAATGCGCATTTAATAGACGCGAGCTTGACGGTAGAACATTAGTTACGGCTAGTCTAAGCGTCAATATTAATCGATGAGTAAATCGACGTCTACGTTTTTGTTCGCAGATATTCTTCAGATCGGGCGCCCTGGAACGATTGGAAGCTCAGAGAGACGAAAAGCTCACTGGCCACATCATTCTGCTGCAGGCGAGATGCAGAGGCTATTTAGCGCGGCGTAAACTCAACACTTTGAAAGTAGGTCGCTTATTCTCTTTCCGAATTGAAAGACGCCGCGTTACCGTGCTAAAATTTAGAAAGAAAGTTTTTAGTCGAACGTAAGAAATTGCAGACCAACACTTTCCCTCGTTTTACTCAAAAGAAATTAGCTTTCGTCTAAAAATTGCAATCTCATTCGTACTAATGGCTCTAAATCTACAAAGGATTTGCCGCGCGTTCATAGAGATTTCCGAGGGGTCTTTAATCTGGCAAATAATGAGAGAAAGATAGAGCGCCGTGGATGTCTTCGCGCCATTTAGCCTTTCTCAATAATAATTTACGACGCTTCAGCGACAATCTGTATAATGAAAATCCGGATCGAATTGTAAATTAAATTCCCTTGCAGCTGCAGGATCTTGCAGTGCGATGCATCCAGAGGAACGTGAGGAAGCTAATGTCCGTGCGAGAATGGCCTTGGTGGAGATTGTACGTGAAAGTCGCGCCCTTGTTAAACGTCCATCGGACCGAAGATCAACTAAAGGCGCGAACGGTGAGAGAGAGAGAGATTTTCCATATAATACATACGTTCTGCATATAATCGATCTTCAAATTTCTTTTTTGTTTCCATTTCAATAGGAAGAGCTCGAGCTTCTCAGGGCAAAAGTGGAACGCTTGGAACAGGAACGCAATCACCTGAAGCATGACAACGACAAGCTGGAGGCGAAGGTAAGCTAACGCAGCGATACTACATGGATATTCACTTTTAATTGCGCAACGTCGTTTTTTTTTCCACGACGGTTAAAATACCCCGAGTAGCTTAAACGCCCGTTACTTGAACCGGGCTGTGTGAATTGCGCCTCTCCGTTCTGGCTATCTACCACAACGATTTTGCGTGCGACCGCATGATGAACTTAATAGAGGCAGTCTCGAAGGATACATTAAGCTCAAACTGCCCGATTAGGCATTCGCGGCACGCACGCCGCGCAATTGGGTTAAGCACGCCAGACGGCTCGTGTCGGGCGTGCGCAACTATTATCGTGACTAGACTGTGCGTTACATTACCATTCTTATCCGCGGCTAATGCACAAGAACACTGGCAATCAACGCTTCTTCATAAGAGGAACAGCCGCTCGAGGAAGCACCGCTCCGCGCCTTCTTATCGTTTAACAATGAATAATTAAACGATATCGTTTGTTAGTCGCCAGTAGTAAACGCCACTAAATCTCGCGTAACAATTTTTCTTCCCGTCTCGCATTAGCACATCTCATACTGTTATATTTTACGGCGCGGTAGTTTTCCTTCCCGTCTCTCTTCATCGGTACCCCTGTTATAAATAGAGAGTTCCTGAATTTTCTATCAAAATGCGCTAGTTCTACGTCCCGCTTTCCAGATATTTTTCTCACGAAATCTACGGAGAAACCTGGCGAATAGCCAGAATCACCGTCTCGCACGTTTCCCTGCGTCTTCCTCTCCCTCGTCGGTCCTCTCTTTCTCGCCGTCTTTCCCTGAGAATAACTCGGAGGTGACCGCCTCCTCCACCGGGCGCCTCCGGCGGCGAATCGGCCGGCCCAGGAAGAGGCAGTTGCTTCGCGACTCCTTGTCGACACGGGCGTCCTCGGTGTCGTTCGGCGTTACGCAATTCACCGTAGTAATGTAACGAGCCTCCGACATCTCGGCTGTTAATCTCAGCAAAGAGAATGAAGCTGCGAAAGAAAGCCGATTAAAATGCCAACTCCGCGACGGCATCAGCTCCGAAAGTTCAGTCAATCCCATCTCTCGCCTCCATGATTGGATCGATCGTACGAACCGATATCCTCGAGTCTTGATTTTCACGTCCCTGCGCCAACGTACTCGTCAAGATGCCTTCTGTACCAACGAGGTACCCTGGTACTCCTCCTCCGTCTCACAATAGTCGGCGTCTGAACGTATTAACATCTACCAGCTCCGACGAGTCGCTCGAAAGAAACGACTCGATGAGCAATGGCTTACCGAGTTTATCCAACTCCGCGACGGGTCTGGCGAAAAGACCACCTCTGCCGCCGCACTGTAACCACCAGAAGAGACCGTCCTCGAGCAGAGGATACATCGCCGGTAATACGACCCGTACGATGCGGAGTCCTTCCCCGTGCAGCGTTTCTTCCAGCGTCTCCTATCGCGCGAAATCCCTATCAGCCGGGATAAGATCGCCGTCCGTTTCTTCCTCGCGAAGCCGGTTGTCTCAGCTGGACTCGCCGACCTTTTCGACTCCGCCGCGGCGAACTTATCCTCGCGAGAGCACGCGTTCGCCGTCGACGGAGGACGTTCTGGTCAAGGAACAGGCGCCGGTAGTCTTCGACGCGAGTCTCAACTTCGTCCTGGGTTGCGAACGGCAGAGGGTGAAGCAATCCTTCAGACCTACCGCGTCCCACTTGGATTCGTCCACCGCCTCGTCGTATCTCACATCGAAGATCTCCCAGTTTTTAAAACGCACCGATCACATCATGGACGAGTGGCGAAGCCTCGGTCACAGGGACGAAATAAGCGACGAGCCGATAAGTTTGCCGCACGCGCGCGACAATACTCGCAGCGTGATCGGCAGGAGCCAGAGCGCCACGAATATCATGATACGCGGCTATCAGTATTACAGCAGATCGAATAGCGTAGCGAAGAGTCCTTCGAGGCGCTCTCTGTCCCGCGCCTCGGAAGACCGTACCTCAGATGGAATGCAGGAGGTAACGTAACGTGCAGAGCAACAATAGCTTCGTTTTGGTCACAAATCGGAAGCTTTTTCCATAAATGTATATAACTTGTCTTACTTCAACTTTCGAAACATCTAAAATTGAAATACTCACGCACACAGAACGCAGAAAGAACGAGGCATAAGTAATGTTGATCCGTGGTTCGCGTTATAGCGTGTCGTATTCGATTTCCTTACGCAATATGCGTTTTTCTGTTCCAGCTGAGCGAGATGACCGCGGACTTCGCGGAGGAGCATTCTACGTCGACGCTGGCGGCGGAGAGGATCGACGCCGAGACTTCGGAGCGGCTGCGGCTCGAGCGCGAGTTGCAGGATGTAACCGAGGCCAACAAGAATCTTCAGCAGACGACCGAACGGCTGGAGATGGAATTGCTCTACGCGAGGGCTGCCGATTTGAACGGGGTCGCTTCCGACGGCGAGGAAGGCGAGGACGGCGGTGTTTATAGGCAACGGTACGAGCACGCTATCCGGGAACTCGAGTTCACCAAGAGGAAAATGGCGCAGCAGCACGAGGACGATCTGGAGCAACTGGTCGGACTGAAGAAACAATTGGAAAAGAAGGTACGTAAAGTTATTCCTATTATGACGAGCATCGCCTTCATCGCCGTCTTCTCGTTTCGCCGAACAGTTGGCCGATGCTTACGAAGAAGTGGAGGAGCAACGACAAGTCGTCGGACAGTGGAAGCGACGAGTTCAGAAACTGAACGGCGAGATGCACGATCTCAGATTGCTGCTGGAGGAACAGACCGCTAGGAACAATCTCCTCGAGAAGAAGCAGCGCAAGTGAGTAGCAGGCAATAAGTCAACGAAATTACAAGACTCTGCGCGAATTGCGGGCTCTGTCACGCTGTGAGATATACTCGCGCATTTAATCCGCGGCTAATGGTCGGCGAGTCCGTATCGGATGGTAGCTCGCTCTATTCTCATTTCACTCGTGGCAACAAGTGTCTCTGGCACTTGGCCAGGCCGGTGACGCCACCCGATGTATACGGGCAGCGTACGGCGACGCGTTCGGTGTGTCTGTAAATCACGATTGACCGTTTGCGAAGGTAGCTTCCTGTTAATCTAAATGCAGCACGCGCCCGCTGGTGGTTAAAGCCGATCTCGTTACAACAGCGAGATTGGATTTGTTCCCGAAATCTCTCCCCTGTCAGTTCATTCCTCAATACATATTCAAAGCTTCATTTACGTTACATTTCAACATAAATTTATTTATTATTTATTCATTTATTAATTTATTAAATTTCAATGGATCGTTGTACATACAAAATTTTTAAGTGCGTTTTTCTTGCAGAATATTATAAAAACTTAATGTCTTTGAATAAAAAATATTTATCTATTTTTACGAATATACGAGAAACGAAATATCAAATTTGTTAAATATCATTGCGAAATCAACATTTTTCACTTATGCTAATTAATCACATTTAGGTTTGATTCGGAAACCCAGAATCTGATGAACGACCTTAGACAAGAGAAAGCACAACGTGAAAGATTAGCGAGGGAAAAGGAGATCGCGATCGCGGAAAAATTCACAGTGGAACAGAATCTGAGCGTGAGTAAATTTTTCTTCTCATTTCCCTCGTTTTCCCAGCTTAAGAAAGTTGAATACAATATTATACATATCTGAGTATATTATTATGCATATAATAGGACGCAAGATTAGAGATTGAGCTGAAGGAGGAAAGACTTCGCACATTGACTCAGGAGTTAGAGGAGCTGACTTTCGGCGGTAAAACGGAAGAAGAAGTTGCGCAATTGAAAAAGGCAAAGCATGAATTGGAGAAACGCGCCAAGGACCAAGAAGAAGAGTTAGACGATCTGGCCGGTCAAGTGCAGCTGCTCGAGCAGGCGAAGCTCAGGTTGGAGATGAGTATCGAGCAGCAACGCAAGGAAATGCGAAAAGAAATGCAGCAACGCGACGAAGAGCTGGAAGACGTTCGCGGAAACGCGCACAAAAAGGTTAAAGCTCTCGAGTCGCAGTTGGAGAACGAACATGAAGAGAGGACGATTCTTTTAAGAGAAAAGCACGAATTAGAGCGCCGTTTGGTGGCTCTGGAGGAACAAGATCGAGCCGATCGCGCAGCGGAAGCTGAGACCATGCAAAGGTGATTGTCAAAATGTTACATGTTTTCTTTCCTATTTTGTTCCGCAATTTATTCTACAAAAATTCCTTTCTCTCTCTGCATAATAAGAATTGAACCTATAAAATTCATTACATTTGCATGATTGAACAGATTGAAGAGAGACCTGAAGAGAACGAAGGCATTGCTCAGGGATGCACAAACGATGCTCGAAAGATCCAAAGGCGATTCGACGGGTAAAGCCGCGTTGCGTCAATTGAAAAATCAATTGGAAGACGCGGAGTGCGCCCGTGCGGTGGCGATTAAAGCGAAACAGGCGTTGGAGCAGGAGCTAAACGAAACGCAAGCAAGTCTGGAAGAAGCTATGCGACAGCGTTCCGAAGCGGAGGAGCGAGCCAATGCGGCCAATCGCGAACGTTCAGAGCTGCTGTCTCAGTTAGAAGAAAACGAGGAGGAGCTTGCCGAAGTACGTTCCTTTGTTCTACACCTTCGAAAAGAGAAAGTTAATATTAATAGTAACATTATTAATTGATTTTCATGAACTTCTAGCGTCTATAAAGTGAGCAACGGTTTTTACAAAATTTCCAACTTAGCAGTGGCTATGTTGCTCTTTAAAATAAAATTTATACATATATAGATATAAAAGATCTTGGGTGGATAGAGATGAAAAGTTTTAAATGGATTTTATGCCCCAATTACAGGTCTTAAAGAAGTATCGAGCCGCGGTGCAACAAGTTTCCGCGGAGCAAGGACAATTGCAGGAAGCACAAGTGCAAATCGCCGCACTCGAGGCGGAGAAGTCGTCGCTGAAGGACCAACTGGCGGAACTAACGCAGCGATTAGAATCAGTGGAGCAACTCGGTGATCCAACGGCAAACAGTCTTGCCACTAGACGTTTAGAGTTCCGTGCCAAGGAGCTCGAAAGCAAGCTCGAATTGGAACAGACCACGAGAGCGCGGTTGGAGGTATTATTGGAATTCTGCCTTTCACGATTAACTATCAATTATTCCATTTTATTGAAAGTATAAAAAGAACTACTATTCTCTTTAAATTGATTTTTTCCCCAAATTTGTAAGCATTAAACGAATAAATGGACATTACGGTAATCACTTGCCCCGTTTCCGTTTTCACAGACGCAAATAGCACGATTAAAGGAAAGCGTCGACAAGTTACAAACCGAATCGGCTTTACTCAGAACGAAGGAGCAGACCGCCCAAGACGCGGCGAGACGACTGCAACGATCTTTGCGCGACGCGCGCGACGAGGGTAGCGCGGCGATATCGCGAGAGCAGGAGGCTGTACGTGCTCGTCGCGACATAGAAAAGTCTTTGGAAGCCGCGGAGGCTGAGACCAAGGTGGCTAGAGACGACCTCAGATTGGCGCTGCAAAGGATCGACGATTTACAGAGTGCTATTCAAGGGGAACTTGACTTGGACTGCAGCGAGGAAGCTACCAGCGAGAACAGTGACAGGTAATATATGAAAATATGCAATACGTGAAAAAATGGAATAATGATTTCAAACGCGTTTTGCACATATTGACATTCCATTTGTTAAAGAATCCTGTTGCCACTGTTTGATTGGGTTATAAAAGAAGAAAAAAATGTTTTTAGTGATTGATCCGAGCCATCGTCGGACTTCGAGTCCGATCAAAATGAAGTTACGACTGAATCAGGATCAATAAATCAGATCGTAGATGGACTTCCGCGCACCCGAGACATCGAATAGAACGTGAATCTTATAGCTGCCCGTATTTAATGTACGATCATGAAAGTGATAGATCACAGTCTGAAGAGACGAAAGACTGGCAAAGCTTACGAAGAGCCGGTGACAGCTCGCGGTCGCGATTGCAATTTTGTGCTACTCGAAGAACGCTAGTGAGGGAGAGTCGGCGCTCTTTCTAGACTGTTATAGGGAATAAAGTCATTTCGAAAGCGAACCAAACTAGCGCAGGAGCTAGTATGTGGGTGACGAAATCAAACTTACGAAGTAACGGCCGTTAAGCTAATTAATTGCGTGGCCACTCTCTACGAGCAATGATAAACTTTTTAGGTGCTAACTATGTATAATTCCCTGAAAATGCCGATGTCGTGGCTGTCTATCGTGCGTCCGCGGTGCTATTATCTTATGTCTGTTTTCTGAAACGTCGATGACACACAACGACGTCGTTCCTTTCCAGTCTTCCACGGGAATTCGAGCCGTTTCTTCGCACGCGAGACGTGAATGCTGATGAGAATTGCGCGCATTGTGCTGTCGGACAAAAATCGAAGCGTAGCATTTTTGATACAAGTAAATAAAAAGTTTCGTGTCTCTTCTTTAGAAAAGTATAAATAGGAATTTCGCTTTGCGAAGTGACAAATTGAAACTTTATTCTCGGTTTTAATATCGACGACACGATATTTGAATTTTATACGTGCTTTTGTTCGACAGCACGTGTATGTCTCACGCGTAAATTTTCTTAACGCGAAATTAGCTCGAGCACGATCTTCTACATCGGGAAGGACACGTTGCGCTTTTTATCCTTGCGATCCACTGCCATCAGGCTCGATTCTGTTTCATAGTTTGTATAGAAAGGAATGGAAGAGAAGGAAAGCACGATAGAGAAAGAGAGGAAGTCGCATGCCACGACTCGAACTGGGGCTTTGGTTTCGTGTAAGGATTCTCGTGTAACTTATTGCTTTGTAAAATGCAGATCTCCTATTTAATTACTCGAGAGTGTTTCTTTGTCGTACCGCATCCCCGAAAACCGCGTCTCCCAAACCCTAAAGTCGCCCTGAAGTTTGATCGGTAAAGCAACGGACAAAAAGTTGGCGGGAAGAAGTCAAAGAGGAAGAAACAGAGATGAGAGATGAGATAGCCGGCACGAGTTGGTTATCAAATTAACCATCACACATAAACCGAGTCACGCATACACGCGATCACTGCCTCGTCCTCTTCGACTTTCTTCTTTGAACCGTCAGACATTGATTTCCCGCGGGATAGCCTTGCTCGCCAAAGTTCCAAAGTAAAGTTAAGCTCTTTTCCTTCTGTTCACCGCACTCCGTTCCCTCTCAGCTCATCCAATCGCACTCTGTTTCTTCATCACTTCCGTAGCCAGACTCTCTCTCTCTCAGTTAGATGAATAAAGTGAAGGACGGCAATTAAATTGCGACTAAGTTGCTGTCGCCCCCATGACAACAGCGAGGACAAGCGAGGATGGATGTGCATTTAGACTGCGAAATCATTCTCTTCTAGAGGTAAGTCTTCATAAGCCTATTAAGCCGCGAAAATAATTAGACTGTAACGGCGCCGCGTCGCGAATAATTTTGCAGAAGGCACAAATTGTTTAAAAGACCCTGATAATTTTGTTACATATAACTTTTTGACGCACACGTGCACGGTGGGATGTATCGATTGTCTTTTACAGTGCAACTGGCAAGCAACAATAAACAACGTAATTTTATCTACCTTCGTAACTCGATCATTTCATGCGGTGTCGATCGATGTCGCGCATATCAAACTTTTATCTTTCTATCTCGCTGACATTCGCCCAGTATTGATATAACATATAGTAGCTTTGATCGGTTCAAGAATTTTACATATATACATGTATTTTGCATGAAACGAGTAAAAATTCTGCCCCGGCACGACTCCTCATTAGAGATTACGTTACGCGCACGACTTCCATTCGCGACTCGCTCCGATTAATTACCGCGCCATATGAGGAGCTAAAGCATAAGCGTGTGCGTCGAGAAGCACGTAATTGTCGCTATTAGCGAGTCAGAGAACAACGCAAAAGCAAAATTAGTAGAGCTCGTCACGAGGAAAATGCGAAAAAAAAAGAAAATTATCACGACACGTAGCTTCTACCATATCATATTGTTGTGTACTTCGTGGAACGTTTGATAGAATACTTTAAGATTCTTTGCAGTAATTTTCTCTATGTCTCTTATGTATTACAAAATCGCGGAAGCAAGTTTTATAAAAAATTCACCTTATTAGTGTGACCTTTAATGCGAAATTATCGCTCGTTCGAAAAATTGACGATAAGCAGAAACAAAAGTGCTCCTTATAATCTTCTTACATCATCCAGAAGACACGTTAAAAATGCTGCAACGGATATTGGGTAATTTTCAAGTCCTTCATAAATGACAAGCTATTTGAAGCGAAGTGCGCTTCTTATCTTTTAGAAAATCGCGAAAGCAAGTTTTATGAAAAATTCGTTTTATTAAATAACTCGACCTGTAATGCAAAGCGGTCGCTCATTCGAAAAATTGGCGGTAAGTAAAAGTAAAAGTCGCGTGGTTCGGTTTTCCTGCATCATCCAGAAGGTTATTTAACATAATTTTCGAGCACATAAATGATGAGCTATTTGAAGTGAACTCAACAGATTAATCTGGCGTTCGCTAATTTGTTATTACATATTTTGCAATTGATTTGTACCTATTCACTCGCTAATTTGCATCATAACCAGTGATCACTACTTAATCCGCTATACAGAGAGCCCGAGCCTCACGAGTTTGTGCTGGTTTAATAGTAACATTTAGCAGTCTAGTTTAACGACTGTCAATCCTGGTCGTAAATCAGTCGTTTGTGCAAGTTGTCATTGCGTTATCATTGCTGAAAGGCTCACAATGAAGCTGTAACCAGTTCGCTCGATGGCGCAAACCGACTCTTCAAATAAAAATTTCACGCTTTTTCAACACACAATGATCAACGCCTGTGTTAATTAACTCTTTATTATTGAAATTCTAATATTTCACTCGCGATTAATGCTCGTAGTATCAGCTGCGCGATTCTGGTACGCATTATAAAAGAACAGTAAACAAAACATAAATAATATTCTATTTCACTTGAAAAGTTGTGCAACTGGGAAAATATTTGCACTTTTATTTGCACCGGTGTCTTCGTAAATAAATCGATCCTCATGTGGCGCCGTTAAAGAAGAACCAACGCGCCGCGGTTTCTTTCTTTAAAGAATCGTAAATATCTTTGACGAGTGTTTCACGCGTCAACGGCTTTTCACAAAGCTTCAGCAACATTTCGTTTCAATTTGTCAACTTTAAATAATGGGCTAAATAAAGAACATCAAATAATATGAAAAAGAGCAACGAAATAGCTACGCGAACATGTGCAATTCGTATCTTGAAGGATAGTGAATGGGACAATTAAAAATGTGGAATTTTAATATAAGAGATCTACGTAGTCAGGGAGGGTTGGCACTTATTAACTCTCGCCGAGCAATTCGCGAAAATTTACAAGAACGTACATCATGGAGAATGTACGTTGACTTCACTGCGAAAATTCTCTCTCTCTCCTCTCTCTCTCTCTCTGTCTCTGTCGTCTGGCTTTTACACCTTCGAAACTAAAAAAAACCTGTAACAAATAGCAGCCTCATTACGCGGCTTATGAAACAGCAGATAATACCACTGAAATATTCATTATTCTAAGTGAATTGTGTTTTTAAACAAGGAATTGGTAATTTCACGACATCGTACACGACGGAGTATCCCATACATAATTTAATCCTACACTTGCAATGAGCGCGACAATTATGACTCGCGTGACACAGTGTCGATACGAATCAGGGATTACCGCGAACCGTGTCTTATGTACGGCAAGCGTGTTACATACGCGTTACATAGCGCCTCATGAATTTTTCATCGCGAACGTGTAACCGTCCACAGGCCTGTGAAACGTCGAAAGTCATTGCTCTTGTCGGGAGATCAATAAGAGGGTGAAAAATCGCGCGTCTCGCAAAGATTAATGTCTTATATAATCCCGCATTGGCGCTGATTTATTCCGCATAATACGACGTGTAGCGCACTCGTTACGGCAGTACAGTTCCGCAAAATCGAACGTGACTCGCCTGAAGCCTAACCGAGGCGAAATTCGCACCAATGCGAATTTAATCAAATCGGCTTCTGCACATTTGCGAAGCGGCACCGCAAATCTTCCTACAAGAATCATCCCTGATACTTATTTTATCGAGCCCGATAACATCTTATCGCTAAAATCCGTCAACTGTCACGCGAAAAGCCTAATGAACGTCCCTTCCTTCACTTCTAATATCTGCTCCTATCCTTTGATATGGAAAAAAAGAGATTTAATAGATGTCTGACTGCTCCGGACGGATAAATGGATTTATCACTGAACTCAGATAGAAAAAAACAGATTAAAGGAACGCGGGGGATTGAAACATCGATATTTCATCGAATTCGTTATATGAGCTTTGGATGTCATTCTGTATCTCGACACAGTGCTTTGTACGCACTAGATACGCAGAAAAATTATAGAAAAACGTATAAGTAATCCGCAAACTATACGAAATGAATAAAAATAATATATCGATAAGTTACATAGACATTTAGAGTATTTTGTACGAATAATCTGCTCGCGAGGTAAAACGGTCTTGTTTATCATATAAATTGTTATAATCAAATAAAAACCGTTCAGTCACTTTGTAGAACCGGTTAACCGGTTACGCGTTACATATTTCTTTTTAATAAATCATAGAGATAAAAGAATTTCATAGAGATGTAATAGATTTTAATTTCATTATATCTATCAAAAAAGTTGCTACGCTACACTTTGTTAAATACTGCGAAACAACGAAGCCGGATGTAACGTTAACGAGCGGACAGGCAAATAGACGCGTGTTCTTTACTTCGGAGCGGAGGGAAAAGTCAAAAGAGGCAGGTCGATATTTTCGCCAGGCTCGTTTCGCCGTGCAAATGGCGTGCGCGCCACTTTAAATTTTAATCGCTCCGAGCGGCGGGCGTCTCCGCACACATTCGTGCCTTTATAAAAGCGACATAATGAGCGCGCGAGCGCGCGGACCCCGGGCTCCGGGCGACGCCGATTAACTGAGGATTACTTTAATTAACTTTACGCTCGCAACGTAACGACGCGGAGCGCGGCTCAAGCCCGAGCGAGCGCGATTCCTCGCCGGAACACGAATCGCGTCGCGTTACGTCCCGTTTAAGATCGAAGATCTTTGCGCTCCGCGCAACTCGTAGCAACCAGTTGTTGAACAGAAATAGTTAAGATAACGACGATTTACGTCATTATAAGGGACACATTCTGAAGCAATTTGTCGCGAAATGCATTAAATCGGTAAAGAGACTTGCCATTACTTTATTCGAGAGAGGAGTAAATTTGTTTAGTACAACTCTCTCTCTCTCTCTCTCTCTCTCTCTCTCTCTCTCTCTCTCTCTCTCTCTCTCTCTCTCTCGCTCTCTCGCTCTCTCGCTCT